TATAACACGTCCTACTCCTACTAGCATGTAGCGACTAAGATTTAAGCAGGGATAACATTTCATATGTTACTATTCCACAGAGACAGCAAAGAGATCAACCGCCACCGCCACCGCCACCGCACCCACCAAGTAAGCAACGATGAAACCCCTGCGAGCACTCGCTAGAACGCGGGAGAACGTGGGGAATCCGCGGGAGGGGGGAGAAGAGGGGAGCGTACGATTCCGATCTTGAGGTGGGAGGAGAAGCGGCCGAGGATGGGGCGCTCCGCCGGCTCGCCGTCCTTCTTCGACGCCTTGGGCGGCATCGAGCTCGGCTCCGCTGCGGCGAGGTGGTGTGCTGGGGTCTGGAGAGGAGTCTGGGGATGGGCTAGCGTGTGTGGGAGATAGAGAGAGAGATGTGGGCTGGCCGGCTAGGGTTTTTGGTGGGAAGTGGTAGTTGCGGCGAGCTGAGAGGAGTCTGGGGATGGGCTCAAACCTGGCCATATGGGTTGTGCCTCGCGGGCCGGCCCATGGACTCGGAATTTCAGCCCGACATGTGCCCAGCACGGCACACGATTAAAAGGGTCGGGCTGGTCTTTGGCCCGCTATGGAACAAGGTCGAGCCCAAAAGCCGAGCATTAAGGTCGGGCACGATACTACCCTTTTAGGGCTGGCAAGACAAGGTCCTCACCCGGCACGCGGCGGCACGATGGGGGATGCGGGAAGACAGGAGGGTCATCCAACAATGATAAAAAGAAGCATCTCTGTGATGTAAAAACCATCGTTTTAGGACACTTTGGGTCAAAAACAGGGCTCCACGTGATACAAAATTCTTTTGGGTAGCCTCAATTTTTGCCCCCAACCGCTACATATTTGGAGTGTTATACCTGCTGCCGCATAATCAAAATGTACTCGTGCCAAAGCCAATTGTCGTGCAGAAGTTTCCCCATCTCCACTTAACATCCATTTTTGGCTGAAAAAAGTTTTAACTTGACAATATTGGATTTTACTTCTTTATATTTTTTTTATATCATGGAGCTCAACATAATTGTTTAAGTGAGAAGCAACGTCTTCATTATAAGAACCATATAATTGTTCTTTCATTAGTCGTTACCAAGTTCAACAAAGCAGTCTTAATTTTGTAAGACTCAGCACTAGTAGCTAGTGGACCAATACGTTTGTTAATGAAATCACCATTCTTACTACTCGTAAATCCACAAAGTTTGGTGTTTTGAGCAGAAGTAGACATGATTTCAAGCCTAAAACAAACTAACTTCTTGCTAGAATTTAAATATTTTTGTGTGTTTTTTGAATTTTTTCGAAAGTGAAAAAACAAAAAAAAACTACTAACATAAAGTAACTAAGCAAGATATATAACAAGAAAGTAAAGTAAAGGAGTGTAGGACATATGGTAATAATCAAAGACTCCCTCACAACAACGCCAGAAAAAAC